TCGCGAAGAGGGTTGTTAAGTTACAAGCAGAACTGGGAGTGACTTAAGCAGCACACGCTAGGAGATGATATGCTTATGAAGGACGCCTGCATTCGTAGTCCCCGCCATGAATGCCGAGAACAGAAGGAACTGCAGAGGAATGCGCATACGCCAGAAATGCGCAAAAGACACTTTCTTACCCCCCTTTCCCCCTGTTGACCTCCCCCTCCTTAATTAGGATTTCTCCTGGTGCCATTATGCAAACCGTGGAAGAGAAAAGGAGGCTGTGCGCATTCGGGTCTGGAAAAGGGCTGAGAAATCACGACTTCGACGTTCGGTGGCTGAAGCGGAGGAGGAGGCCAGTAAAGTTGCTCCTCGCTGCCTTAATGATGGCGAAAATTCGTGAGAATACAGAGAGAAAACCGTCTTAAAAATCAAAGGAAGTCCAGGACTGAAGAAACTGATGCAAAAGGAGTCGCCGCTCCCGGATCATCCTACAGGCGCCTCGAAGTTGAGGTACTTTCCCGTGGGATACGCGTCAGTTTGCGGGTCGCCTTCGTTTGTTTCTGTCCAATGTTTAATTTTAAAGGAATATTGCCAATAACACACCGAAAGGCTACCATAGGACCCTCTACAGACTGCAGGATGATGAGTGTTGGGTGAGGAACTGCGATTTGCAGGGAGCGAAGTGTATGGACAGCCCGTAATATTGAAGAAAACACTCTACTTATTCCTTCTTTGTTCTACTTACGTTGCTCTTGCCCTATTCATTGACAGTAACAGGCTGCCGCCTGCGAGGCCCCAGTACTACTGCTACACACTGCGGCCCCCAAGCCCCCTGTAGCTCAAGGGCTTAGCAACGAAAGTATGATATGATTGATACATTTCCTAGCATTATTCCTCCGTTTCCTGTGCATGTTGTCTTCTTTAGGAGTCAAAGGTCATTAAGTCGTGAAATTCATGCCTACGGGACCCCCTGCGTGCAGTTCACCCGTCGCTTGCATTTGACCCGGAGCGTCGTTAATGCTTCTTTCTTTTCACTCTTTCCGCTTCTCCTCTTCACTTCTTCGCTCATTTTAGCGTTCTCTTTGCCACAGAAAGCAGCAGAAGGAGAGGCACCTTGTGCTGTACGTGCAGCCAAGCGCTGTGTGTCAGCCTGCAAGGTTGAATTAGTCACACTATCGGGTTGCGAGAGACTCTGTGGACATTCTTCATAAAGACAAAGAAAGTGCATCGGAAAGAGGCTGAATTCCTGTGCAGCGTGGCACCTATTGGGTTTACTCTGTGCACTCTATGTAGACCATTGCACGTTCCAGGCTCCCGTCTGCTTTCCCGCGTTTGTCTTGCACGTTCTCGTGGATCCCGGACTGTACTGCTTTGAATTTCAGCGCATTGGATGATACCCAAATGGCGAATACCTCGAGGACAGAAACTGTCACTCCGGCAGTCATACACATCGTTTCTTCTTCTGCCTCACCGCCTGCTGCAACAGCCGAAGATGCAGCGGCTGCAACAGCTGCAGCAGCTGAAGCAGTAGAGACACCAAAGCAAGTTGCGTGGGTGGAGGGCACGCTTGACAATGAGGACTTGGGGAGGAAAAGCAGCAAAGTCTGCTGCATCTACCACAAGCCCCGCGCTTTCGGGGAGAGCAGCAGCAGCAGCAGCAGCAGTGACAGTGACAGCGAAGGGGAAGATAAAGCAGCCGGTTCGAAAAAAACGGGGGGTAAAAAGAAATCCCGAAAGTGCAAACATCACAGATGTCCAAAGCCAGCAGACGGGGAAGAGACGGCATCTTGATGTAAGGGGCATTCGGCCGAGCACCTGGCTTAGTCAAACCGCAAGAGAAGCACAAATTGTATTCTCTGTTTTCTTGTTTTGTTTTTCTATTAACATTAATGACTTCATTAGGGCGGCTTTTGTGTTGATATGAATAGCTCTGATTTCTTCGCCCCCCGTTTTTTGTGCGTCATCATCTCCTGTAGAGGCCTGCCTATAATATTATTTATTCATATAGGAACAAATGCCCTCAAGGAGTTTTTGTTTATGTTTGCACCTTTAACGCCGATCGGGTACACTAGTTTGCTGATCGGGTGTAGTAAGTATTTGATTATTCTTATTTTGGTTTGTAGAATATCAGGGCTTCCAGGAAGGACGACGCTGCCCTTTGACAAACGCAAGTAAATATGCAACTGACTGCAGTCGTTTGCTTTGTTCCTCGCCTGTTTGCAGCGTTTGTTTGAATTGCTGATAAGTTGATTTGAAGCAAGTCACGGCACACACAAACGGCGCCTACACTAGACTCTACTGAAACGAACTCATAACTGTAGAGTACACCTAGAGAGAATGNACACAAACGGCGCCTACACTAGACTCTACTGAAACGAACTCATAACTGTAGAGTACACCTAGAGAGAATGCTAAATCCGGCAGGAGAGCTTCAGGTTTAGGGTATAGGATTCGGAAATGCCGTTGCTCAATGCATCTAAGTGATTATTTGTAGTCGTTGCGGAAGTATACTAAATGGGGAACCTACAGCACTGCTCGTCGCGCGAGACAACATATTCTAGCTAAAAGAGCATTCTTTAACGTCAATGCATCTCTCAACTTGCTGAGTGCACCTGCGGCATTTTTTAGGAACTAACTTACTGCCAACTTCCAAACTAACCTTCCCTCAGCTCTTCTATGGAA